ACTGAAGGTTGTTCGTAGTTAACAAAGTATAGGAAATGTGTGATGGTTCCTATTTGAAGTACTGAAGGTTGTTGGTATGTTAAAGTAGGAAATGTGGTTCCTAGTTGAAGGAGTGAATGTTGTTCGTATGTTTGAGTAACAAACTTGTGTCCAAGTCGAAGTAGTGAATGTTGTTCGTACGTTAAAGTAACCAACGTGGTTCCTTGTTCAAGTAGTAATGTTCCTTTTCCTTTAAGTTTTTATAGTTTAATTCGTGTCATAACAAGTAAACCAAGTAAAGCCTGATCCCTTTTTTTAAATCAAAGAAGAAACTATGGAAAGTGCATTACATCGTAATACTTCAGTTGCCCATACCACCTGCAAATCTCCGTCCATCGTTTCAAGGTGAGTACACTAAATCGTTCTTCTAAAACTCTCCGTAAAATTAGTCCATAAAAAGACATTGCCTTTGGTTTTCTCTATACATCTGAACACGTCCTTCACAACAATGTTTAGCTCAGTCTTTAATGATTTATACTTTGGGAAGGTGTACCACTCAAATGGATGCCAGGGATTTATAACGAACAGCTGCTCTTGTTTGGCGAAGGTTACACCATACATCTATAAACTCATTAACAAATTTGTGGACTTAACAACGGTTGAGGACGAAGAAAAATGACAAAAGCACTAGTGGAAAGCGCTTTCATATCTACCTCACCTGTGGTTCTGTTAGAATTGGGCTGAAATAGCTCCGGGATCGCCTGGAGTACCACTCTTTATTCGACTTGTCCTTTAGGAGACTAGTTGACTTTACAAATACGAGAGGTTTGCTACGAGCCTAAGGTGCACTGAAGCTGAATAGAAAGACGTTCCCTTACTAGGTGTGGATTTAGAAGGATTTCCTTACTTGGCCATTCGTCCTAACTTAGGTCCATGATTTCCAGTTCAACTACAGCTACATGCAGCCTTAGACTCTAACAGGCCTTCTAACTAACTCCAAAGTTAAGTCGATTCAGTGTGTGTAAGAACCGTCTAAGTTCGTCTATATATATCTCTAAATCTCATTTCCTATTAACATTTTGTGGATGATAAAGGTCACTACGTGGGGCTAGGTTTTGATTAAAACAGATAGTGTTGGTTTAAGTTGTGGCTATAAGAATGGTAAATATTATTGATCTTGCTTCATTGACACTTTCCCACTGTATAATTTTTGATAGGCGATGAAGAGGCAGAAAATCAAACAACTCGTATATATGCTAGTATATAATAACCGCCTCTTCTGTTTTAGGCCAACGGTCATTCACAAAAGTGCATATGGAAGGGAGTTTGGAATTTCAACTAAAGTCCAAGATGGACCTATTGCGAGCATCCATTCCACAACTTCAGCTTTCACCCCTTGTTATCGTAAAGGCGGCTGCCCACATACCTTAGCTGGTCAGTCTAGATTATCCAGCTTTGATTTCCAAGACCTTCAGCAGCAACCGGCCGTTTTATCAGGTCGGCTGACATCATATCAAGTTGAACCACGTGAACCTGCGCAAAAACTACAAGAAATGAGCCAGTTTAGTGCCTTGTATCCTGGATGTCAAGCAAATGGAAATCCTCGATGTTGTTCTATTCGGAAAGATGGCTTTCCAGGTTTTTGCTGTCAGGAAAATCATGGCCGTGGACAGAGTGACGAGGATTACCAAATGGACTTTGGAAGAGGAAAACACAGAACGATGCCTTATGTGAGTCGCCCACATCAGACGATCCACAAACCAGTTTTTCACACTGGCCAACGATTGGGGATTCGCCCATACTACCAGCCCCCTCACGGAGCTACTTCTGAATATTGTTATGAACTTGAAGTGTCATCAAGCTCTGACACTCAGGAATCTTGTGACCTGAGAAGCCAAGAAATACAAGTAGGCAATGATCTCCAAGAAATAGGAGAACAAGAAGGAGAACAGCTGGAGAAGTCCAGTTATGAAGAGGAGTCCCAAGATGTCCAATGTTGCACCCCCTTGAGCCGGGATGAAACATCGGGAAGTTTTGGTAAAGAATATGCAAGTGAAGGCCTGTCATCGGTAAATCACAACGAAACTCAACATGAAATCAATGGAATCTCTCAAAGAAAACAAAATGAGTGGCAGTCAAGTAGAGAGCATGGGCCATCAAGTTGTCACAATCTATGTTGTCGTGCTCCAATCTCCAGACCGCACCGTCATGGAGATATGTCAAAAAACGCTGACTATGTTAAGAGGGAAATGAATAAAAGAGCTGAACACATGAGTAAGCACTGGACTCAGAATCACCAAGGAGGGACGACGTGTTTAGTGTGCTTCAAGACATTGAAGAGGTCCTATTACATGAAGGTGAATATGATTGAAAGGGTCAGGGATGGGGTAACGGTACGTAGTCTCAATTGCCTCTCATCCTTGCGGACACAAGTTTGATTTCTGACTTGATCATTATAGCCCCGTGTACGTGAGGTCCCCGTGTATGTGAGGTCCCCATGTCCGTGAGGTCCCCGTGTATATGAGGTCCCCATGTCCGTGAGGTCCCCGTGTATATGAGGTCCCCGTGTCCGTGAGGTCCCCGTGTACATGAGGTCCCCGTGTATATGAGGTTCCCGTGTCCGTGAGGTCCCCGTGTATGTGAGGTCCCCATGTCCGTGAGGTCCCCGTGTATGTGAGGTCCCCATGTCCGTGAGGTCCCCGTGTATATGAGGTCCCCATGTTCGTGAGGTTCCCGTGTATATGATGTCCCCATGTCCGTGAGGTCCCCGTGTATGTGAGGTCCCCGTGTCCGTGAGGTCCCTGTGTATATGATGTCCCCATGTCCGTGAGGTCCCTGTGTATGTGAGGTCCCCATGTCCGTGAGGTCCCCGTGTATGTGAGGTCCCCATGTCCGTGAGGTCCCCGTGACCGTGCATGCTGACACTTGACCAGTGATCTCGCGCGTTGTAATTGGTTTAAAGGGTGATGTTAATTCCGTATCTTCCGTATGCTCTTAGTATCGTGCTTTCTAACCGTTCACCAAATAAAAATATTTGGACGTATTTCGATTCAATCCGGGCACACACAAGGGCCAGAGTTTTGGCAGTATCTCACTAGTATAGCTAGAATTTATTAAAATTACTTTATTTGCACTCAAAAATGTTGGTTTTTGCACTCGTAAAGCGTGGTAGGATATTCAAGTTCCCTTTTTTTTATCCTATTCTTTCAGAGCCACATGCTAATCCACACTGGTGATAAACCGTACAAGTGTGCATACTGCAGTAAAGCCTTCAATCAGATTGGAAACAGAAATGCCCATCAAAGAATCCACACCGGCGAGAAACCCTACGCCTGCGATTACTGTGGCAAGCGGTTTATCTTCAATTCCTCCAAGCACAACCATATGAAGGCTCATGGTCATACAAGCTTTTCATTCCCAGAAGATGACTTCTCGGATGATGAATCAAGAAACTCCTAGATTTTTTATTCATCATCGTCATCATCATTCTCGCCTCTTTATATTACATTGTGTTTAATGACGTCACAAGTGAACAATGAAACCCCTGCGCATGTGCGTCACGTAATTGGAAACGTGATCAAACAATCCTGCTTGTTCATGAAACGACACATAATATTTTAACACACAATGAAATGAATTGCCCGTTTTTATTATGACGTCATATAAAAGCAATCTGTTTAACGCTGAGAAACATGGTCGTAGGAGAGGGACAAAATGACAGCAAAGGTTTTAGAACAGAAAAGCAATACAATAATAAGATTCATTCATTAATCCCCGGGAGGTTTTTCAGAATTAATTTACGTGGTACAAATTATACATAATGCCGTATTCATTGCAGGATAAACACCAGTTCATAAAATGTTCGAAAACTAGACATATCATAGCTATCAATTCAGCTGCAGAGCAAAAGGATTTCAAAYTGTTATCGTTCTTCACCATTCTGTCCTCTCATAAACGAGCTATGACGTCGTAGTGAAATAGGGCAATCAGAGAAAGCTTAAAATCATGAGATACAACGGAAGGTGGACCTTAGTTATTAAATCTTTCATATACTCTTTTTGTAGTTTTTTAGAGATTTTATGCCTAGCATTTTAGTGTACCTATATGTAATGCGCAGTTGATCATATTAACATGTTAAATTGCGCAATACAAATAATAAACTATTATTATTATCTTTTTTTTCTTCTTCTTCTTCCTCCTAAACAAAAAAAAAAGTCCCTGCTAGCGGCGGAAGGTGAACTTTCAGTTTTCTAATATTCTCTGAATATTCTCGGGGACCAGCTAGGAACGGTCACTCCCATTTTTGTACTTCACCCTCAATTGGTGTCCGCCATGTTGGTTGTCATGACAAAAGACACCAAGACCAAATCTTTCATCCACGTCAGCCAAAATGGCGGTTATGACCTTTCATGCACCCCAAGAATAGAATGAAATTTTTCCGGCTTAAAATGCAGGAAATAACATTAATTCCAGAATTCCCGTTTTAAAATCAAGATGCAACACTAAAAATAATGAATCATAGGAATAATAAATTATTAGATAATGAGTTAAGACCATCGATCTGCTCTAAACAATCTATAAATCGGATATTATTTTGTCGAATCACAAAAAAAAACGTAATAAATAATTCTCCTTCGTTTGATTCAAAGTTGTCCTTTCAAGCGTTTTCTGTTATTTTACTGTTTCTTGCACTCCAGTGTATCTTCATGTGGTTGTGCTTGGAAGAACTGAAGCTAAACCGCTTGCCACAGTAATCGCAGGCGTAGGGTTTCTCGCCTGTGTGGATTCTTTGATGAGCATTTCTGTTTCCAATCTGATTGAAGGCTTTACTGCAGTATGCACACTTGTATGGTTTATCACCAGTGTGGATTAGCATGTGGCTCTGAAAAACGAGAAACACAGCAGTTCAATCAAGTGTAAAAAATTTAATTATCGTATCGGTCACTGTGAAGTCCAAAGTCCTTTTTATGGGCCAAGTAAAATGTTTAGCTCGTTAAAACCAAATTATATATTCGGCCATTTTTCGGTCAAATATTTATTTTTTTTTTGTTAATGTAAACGGTATAGTTTTAGCAGTTTAAGTAGTAATTCTCACTCGAGAAAGAGTTCCCTACCTTTAAATTGTTAAACCTGCTCAGCTTTTTGTAGCACACTGGACAAGTTGTTCTTGTAATGCCTCTGGCCATATTGGACCATCCAACAACATCGTGTTGTTGGATGAAATCACAAGCCCTTGGAGGAGACCTATTGTCTTCCTTACGGGATTGACGTGAGACGTGAAGGTTGTTTGTTCCCTCGTACTCAGAGGGATTCGTAAACTTGTCATTTGGAAGTTGTTCTTGATGACATCTTTCGTTGGCGTTTTCTTCCCTGAATGAGATGCTCTTGGCACTTTGGTGTGACTCACCTAGACGGGCTTGCTTGATGGTTCTCTTACCATTCAACCATGGAAAGTGTACTGTTGCTTCTTTGTCTTGCTCCTTGAGTGCAGACCTCTCGACTTCTCTATGGTGTGACTCAACTATACGAATTTGCTTGATGGTTCCATTACCATATAGCCATGAAAGATGCCCTTTCTTATTCCCGTCTTTATACTTGCTTTCATCTTCTCCTTTATTTGCATAAGGTTTACCAAGACTTGCCTCCTTGTTGATCGTTTTCTTTCTGTTGAACCACTGAGCATACCCTGTTGTATCTTCACTTTCTTCTTTGAATACAAGACTCAAGTCATCTTTTTGATGGGTCACACCTAGATCTTCCTTGCACAATGGAAAATCTTGAGTCTTATAATTTCCATCTTCTTCCTTGGATGTAGTACCGCCGTATACAATTTTACATGGTTCACCAGGACAGTCTTGCTTGATTCTTCTCCTTCCATGCATCCATAAAAGATGTCCTCTATTGTTCCTGTCGTAGCCTTCTTCCTTGAAGGTAGTATTGTCGTCTACAATTTCACCAGGACAGTCTTTCTTTCCCTGCAGCCACAGTATATCGTGTCTTGCTATGTCCTCGAATGGAGTAGTCTCTTCTTCTCTTTGATGAGGCTTGGCAAGAATAGCCTGCCTTTTGTATCTCTTTCCATACGACCATGTAGGATGTGCTGTAGCATATTTATTTCCTTGCTTGGCTGCAGTACTATCATCTGGATGTGGCTCTCCAGGATTGGCTTGGATAATGGTTCTCTTTCTGTAGTGCCAAGGACAATGTAATTGTACTGTTTTGCTAACTCGGTCTTCTTGCTTGTGTGCGGTACTCTCATCTTGTACTTGATGTGACTCATCAAGACAGTCCTCGCTGATGCTTCTCTTTCTACGTAACGAAAGATGTCCAATTGTATCTTCATACTTTTTCTTCGACGCGGGAATTAAAGAAAAATTCTCTTCTTGACTATTCAGAGGAAAAGCTTTTGAAGACCGACCATGATTAAATTCTTGATGTAAAGGTGTACTACTGGATGACGGCCGGGGTATCATGTTTGAACCAACACCGTTACAGCTGGTGCTTAACTTGCAGATGACTGATGGTCTGAAAAAACCAAACAGAAAAGTATGACTACTAGCTTCTTTATTTAATTCAAGAACTACCTTTATTCTAAAAGCAGAAATTAAATATGTAAAACATTAAGGAATGAATGAATGAACGGACGGATGAATGGATGGATGAAAGTGACATAAAGTATAAAATGGCAAAAGAAGAGAAGAGAAGAGAAGAAAAGAGAAGAGAGAGAAAGAAAAAAAATCCAAAGACAATCGAAAATAGGAACCTTTTGGTACCTTTTGGATAACGGTAGATCTTGGTACCTTTCGGGAAAACCGGGAATGACTTAACAAATAACATCTCCTAACGGGACCTCACCTTGTGTACATTTGCAGGTTCCAATCAATAGGAGTGATCGTCTTCACATGATGTTTAGGTTCGATCCTGCTTTGAATGGTGTCTCTATAAATTTTCGCTCTGCCAGTGCTGCCCATTGTGAGTGATATGTCTTTTGTTTTCCCAATTTCTTGGGGCATATGTTTTTCTTTTTTATTCGTTATTGTCAATTATTTTAGTTTTTGCTGTGGAAAACAATTTGGTTAAGAATAGGTTAAGTTAAGTTATGACATATGATATATGTTTGCCTGCTAGTGCGCGTCCATCCTTTAGTGGAAAAACCCAATAACAATATCTATTAAGTCTTCATAGAAACTTGGATACGCCTTTGTCTCTGATAAAGTCATCCTCATTGGTATTCTTTAGATAAAGACACAGCGTGTCTTTGTATAAAGATCACTTAAATACTAATAATTAAGACTAACTACGCGCTGATAGAGACAAAAGTTGCGACAGGGAAATCTGTCTACCGTCAATCAAATACATTTTTCGGTACCTTTACATACTCGATCTGATTAATTGACGGCAGTTTGTTGCCTAATTTCCCTTCGACACTGTTGTCTTGTTCAGGGCGTAGCAATGAAAGTAGTGGGAAACATTTTTTCAATTGTGGGGGGAAAATGGGAAGCGGTTTAACTTTATGCTGCATGGTTTAACGTTTGTCCACAAACTTTTACATCCTAAGAAATATAACTAGGGCATCTTGACTTAAACTATCTAAAATATCTATACAAAATGGCATAGAAAGAAGAGACAAAGGACTATGAGCTCCCCCTACCCGCCCTCTCCGTGGCCCCTGTGTGGAAGGATGGAAAATACCGACAAGCATCTTACAACACCGCAAATAGGCTGCTAATTGCTTGCTTTCAGATGCGCATATGGCCATTTATCTGCATGGGTCTGACAGCATTAATTTTGAATTTTATTTTGCAAACTTTCTAGACATTTAAATTTTATTTATTAACACCCTCAGATAACTAAAGTTATATGATTAAGGCTACTTGTTTATATAGGTAGCTTTATGGTTTAGATTACAGTATTCATGATTTCATCTACAAGTGATCAAAGTCAACTGAGGTCAACAAAGACTCTGTTGTATTCGTTGCCCAGACAACTGTCTTGGTCCTTGTTTCTTTTGTGTTTCTCCGCCTCTTTCTACGAGGCTATCCAAAACAATTGACGAAAAGATATTTTGGTAAGTTCGAGAATGTAACAAAATTGGTTTTAAAGCAATCTTACTATATTTTTGTTCTTTTGTATCTGTGAAATGATAATCCTTGGCCACCAAAACAGATCGCTAACGAATTAGAAGGACATTTCGCGGTACGACAATGCGCAATGACAAACAAAGTGATATGTTTGAGCACTGCAACTGTATGTCTTGAAATCCTCGCGCGTTATGACCCGCACACATATCTGACAACAAATAAGGATTTTCTTCGGCTTTTCTCTATCAGTTTTTCATCGGAGCTAGAGGTCCATGGTTCAATCATCAGTAATAAATAAGTCTGATAGTCTGAGGGGGTTAACGGGGTGCACCTTCGAGCGCTTTATTCATGAGTCCCTGGTTCGGGAGAATTGGGCAACCACTCTCTTCGTAATCAAAGTAAATCTTAAACCTTTTTTATATATAGAAACATTATTATGAATTATCATGAGATAGCTAGCTAGGCGTGTAAACAATTTTCTGAGCGCGCTCCATATTTTTCTATTATTATCTGTGCTTTTTTTATTAGTTATTTTGCACTACTGTTATCAGAAAGACCTTCGCGAGTAAAAGGCAGTCTTGAGATGACCCTCGTACTATTATTTTTCTTCACAAGAATATGATTATATTAATTATATAAATAAAAAATATGTATCTGGGTTTTTTTACCTTTGAAATTTTCGTAGCCGGTTAGTCGGAGCGTAACATTAATGTCTTGCCTAGTAACGGATTGGTAATTGAGTCAGGATCCCCCAAACAGGCCACACCAAGAAGTTGTTAGCCAATCACAGTCCTTTAAACCAACCAATCAGAACAGGAACATATGGGAAAAAGGGCCTCAACAATATTAGCCTTTCATTTCTCCCACACCCTTTTGTAAACCGGGCTCCCTGTGGTATGCAGGGTGATTATTCCGCTGATCATAGGAACTGCTGGCTTCAATAATTGGTGAAGTTTTCGTATTTTCAGACAAGAGTTTGACGGTTTTTTCAAAATTATCGGTGTTTTTTTACGTAGTAGAGCTTCTGAGCCTTATTTTTAATGATGTCCACGAAAAAGTAGGTTTCAGAGAAAATCATCGCTCCGTATTTAAGGTTATTAGTGTTTTAATAGAACAAAAACGAATGATTTTTTCCAGGTATGGTTTGATAATCAAGAAAAAGGTCCAAGAAAATCAAGTGAAAAAATCCTCGATATTTGGAAATGATTCCAGTGAAGAAGAGGTAAGCTTATTGAATGGCTTCTTTTTCTTTTATATCACTTTAATGATAACACAATTCTTGATTTATAGCCGTTTCTCTTCCACTGACTGTTGTGCCCGTTTATAGCATCTATAGGCACGTATGTTGTCATAAATATTTTTCAAAGTGATTATTAGAAACATTGAGTGATTTCATTTATTCAGTCATGTTATGTTAGACAACTAAAGTTATAGCATTGATTACTATGATCTACAATACTGGGGAAATATTAGCATTGTAGAGAGGAACTACTAAGAATGTGATAGAATAGGTCACTTGCATTATAGCGTCATTAAATACTACCACTACCAGAATCACTTGCACACTGTCTTTTGTTCAGTTATTTTATAGCACCTGTTACCTTACTAAATTCTTACTACCTCTTTCGTAGTGGTAATAAAATGACTCCATCATGCAAAACAACCTATACTCAGAATCCATATAGCCTAACCCCCCCCCACACACACACCCACAACTTATAACTTATAAAGAGTCCATAACTTTCGTGTGATATTTAGGATGACAGAGCAAAGAAAGGAGTAAATGTGTCCCTTATGCGTGAGGCAGAGAAGAAGAAACAGATGAAACAGGTGTAAACCATTAAGAAGAAATTTTCTTCTTGTCATGGAAGCTTATACTGTATTACAGTACTGTGGTTTTTCATATTCTGTGAACTCAACAGTTGCAAACTGTATGCTGAAATTTGATTTTTTCTACTGCCGTCAATCAAAAATAATCATTTGGTACCTTTTATATTTTTGATTGGCTTGACTGAAATCTACTTCACAACAAGCTGTTGAAATGTTGAAGTTTGCAGGATATTGAAAACTGCAGTAAACAAAGCATCTTCATGAAATATTTTGAAATATTTTTAGTCCTGTGTGTGTGTGTGGCAAGCTGAGGAGCTTAGACTAAAAACCTTTCTCTTTAGAAATACACTCATATGTCACCAGTGATCGACCCCCGCCCCCCTCCTCTCCCCTCCCAACCCCCAGTAACTTGCCTTTTTGCCCTAAATATTTTGCTGGAAAAGAGTACCTGTTCAGAACATGCATGACTGCCATTCAAGCTAAACAGTATACAATATGAAATTCTCTGCAGTTTAGAGTTCACTGTTGCTCAGGCTTTTCCTCATATTTTGTCATTAGATATTTAGTAGTGGATTCAAATGCAATGGATTTCCAAATGATTTGCATTTCTTACTTTTTAATCATTTTATGAAATAACTGTTATGAATGTCGCGTTCTGATTGGTTTGGAGTGTGTGCTTTATGAGAGCACATTGCACAGGCGCACACTTTCTGTTGCGTCATTCCTATCTATTATTGTAATTTGTATTTTATAAAAGAAATATAAAACTTGCTTGCTGTGCTGTGTGCAGTCATAAAGCACTTGGGGATTGACAGAACACTCGAGAAGTGTCTTGAAGCACTCCACTGCGCGTCGTGCTTCTCCTAACACTTCTCTCGTGTTCTGCCAACCCCCGCGTGCTTTAAGACAGCACACAGCACGCGTGCACGTTTTCTATTTCTCCAATAGTTAGTCCCTTTTACAGCTGTACTACCTGTGTCATCTCAAAAGGTTGTCATGCCTGTGCATCAAAGTGGTCAAAATGACCAGCAAGGCAAAGATTTGACCAGACAAGTCCCAGTTCTTGCTGGACATTGTCTGATGTCCAACATCTATTTCAAGCCCTATGCAATAATAGGTACTTGAAAATAATTATTATTGTCTAAGGTGTTACATAAAAAGGTCTCCTCTATCTTTGCAAGCTCACCGCCATCCATGCTTCAATAAACATGCATTGTTAACTTTCAAGATGGCGCAGGTGACTGTAAAGGGGACTACTACAGGCTTACTAAGGAATTTATTTCAAATTACGAAGGCTAATAAAGAGCTAAAAAGGAAACTCGTATTTTTTTTCAGACACAAATCGAAATTGAAAAAGCCTTAAAAGAAGACCCAACAGTTTATGAATATGACAATATTTATGATGATATGGCAAAGAAAAAGGAAGCAGCCATTCCTAAATTAACAGAAAAAGAGAAAAAGGTAGGGAAAGACACATAAGGTACAGACAGATTTTTTTTTTAATCAAAGGCTGCAAAAACCAAATTTCAGCTTGCCTCTTGCAACTACTGAGTTTGAAAAATATCTGAAATTAAGCCAGGCCTGATCTTTGGTCGGGGCCTGGTTGTACGAAGGGTGAATAGTGCTATCCGACAGATAAATCTTATCCATTGGATAAATTTCTTGGATAACAGCATTGACTTATCAACTGGATAAGGATATATCCATAGGATAGCGCTATCCATCCTTCTTACAACTGGGCCCAGATATTCATTGATCTTGGGCACTATTATGTTAATTCATACCTACAAAGTACTGTCTCCTATGCCATTTCACACTTTTCCATTTTACTACTTTGAAATGGAAATAACATTGTCTTCTTGAACTTTGTATCCATGTAGCCCAAGTACATTGAAAATTTACTCAAGTCAGCAAAGACAAGAAAAATGGAAGAGGAACGTCGTATTGAGAGAAAAACCCACAAGGAACGAGAACAAGAGGGTGGGGAATTCCAGGATAAGGAGGAATTTGTTACATCTGCGTATCCTTTTTAACAAAAAAAAAATCGAAAGTTGTGGAAAGAAGATGGGGAAAATGGAAAAAAAAGCAAGAACATGCCATTTCAGCTTGCATTCCTGGGATTTCTTTGACACGTGGGTATGGTCACGTGACCTGTCAATGGAGGTGTAGAAATGCGTTGCATTATGGGGCTGTATTGAGGGACGCTTCGTCAGTCCGCTGGACATTTTATCAAGAAACGAACGAAATTAAGAATTAAAACGACAGTGAATGTTTCTTATCTCTTTTCACTATCAGTAAGCGAAAAAGGACGCCATATAAGTATTATAGCGTCCACTAAGACAGCTTCATCATGCAACGCGTTCTGCAACTCCGGATAGGCTAATAGTAGTAAAGCAAAGGAATGCAAGGCGAGATGGCAAACTTTGTCCTTTTCCAATTCAATCAATCAATCAACTTTATTTAAAGAGGGTGACGTATTAATCCAGTTCAGCAATTTACGAGTCGTGCTTAAATATTCAATTTTGAATTGAATGGTAAGAATTCCGAATAATTTGATGATTTGACTGATGATTATTTATTGAACTCGCTTAACCCTACATAACACAGTTATCGCAAAAGAATGCTTGAATTAGAAGAAGAGGAAAAGCGACTACGAGAACAGGACGCCATCGACGGTAAGAATATCAAAAAAACAGGTGTAAAATGAGGAAAAAAAACTAAAGCTAAAAAATAGAATGGTTATGCCGTAATGGCTTCCCATAAGAATGGTTATCGTATGAGTTGGAAACGTACGGTACTGACTTACAGTACGTACACGGTACATGTCGTAACATTGAAATGGCTTCCCATAAGAATGGTTATCGTAAGAGTAGGAAACGTACGGTACTGACTTACAGTACGTACACGGTACATGTCGTAACATTGGAATGGCTTCCCATATGAATGGTTATCGTATGAGTAGGAAACGTACGGTACTGACTTACAGCACGTACACGGTACGACATGCCGTAACATTGAAATGGCTTCCCATATGAATGGTTATCGTACGAGTAGGAAACATACGGTACTGACTTACAGCACGTACACGGTACATGTCGTAATATTGAAATGGCTTGGAACGGCTACCAATTTGCAGTATCGTTTCCCACTCCTTAGAAGGGCGTTGTTATTGAGGTTTGTTTCTGTCGAATGTACTCTTTTTAAATCTTTTTCAAATTTCTTCCATTTCCAGCGATGAATGACGTCACGAAGCGATCTGATTTGAATATGTTTTATAGCAATCTACTCAAACAGAATGTGTCAATGGGTGGCGCCTTTGCTGCAGAGGCCAAAAGCCAAGACCAGGAATCTGTTAAAGACAAAACTGACGATGACGATGGTGACAGATCATCTTTGGACAAAAATCAGAAAAGCAAAGTCGACAAGCTAATTCAAGATTCTCGAGATACAAAAATCAAGGGAAAAATTTCATCTAAAGATGAGAGTCGCTCAAAACAGGCTCGAAAAGACGATCGAAAAGAAGGGCGGGAAAATAATGAAAGACCGAGACACCGTGAAGAGTCTGATAAACATTCACGAGGCCACCACGAGCACAAACGACGGAAATCCAGCGACGATGAACGCCGTCAACGACGAAGCGATGACTACAAGGAAAAAGATCGAAAGAGATCACATCATAGAGATAACGATGTTTATTCGGAAAATACTCGGGATGGTAATCGGAAACACGATAGGCCAAAAACTGAAGAACGATTGGAGACCGAAGAAAACCGAAAACCTGAACCTAGTGAGAGGAGCAAACAAGAAGAGAAAGAGAAAGACAAACGAGAGAATGCCGCTTCGTCTAAGTTTGTCAAACGAAGTAATGATGAAACTATTTCTTCTGCAAAACAGAGATACCTCGAGAGAAAACGTGTCCGTGAATATGCACTTCAGATGCGAAAAACAGACGATTCGGATGAAGATTGACTTCATGTATAGTTTAATGATTGTTATGCCTCATCTTTGAAATATTAAACTTATTGTAAACTGTACAATCAGTGATATTTTGTAATCATCATGATTAATCTAACTAATGTTCCTAAGAGTTTGTGTCTTCAATGCCAGAAAGAGAAGTATGATCAATGTTTTTCGTCGTACAATTTCTTGTGTGCGACTTCACGCTCAAAATAATTGCTTTGTCGGATTCGCTCTCTTTTTTTAGCCCCCCATTTGCAGTTTTTTATCATTTGCAGCCCATCCCAAGAGAGTCAAATGCAAGGACATGGCAGCCATATTCTTTGTATTAACGAAGAGAGCTGATAACTGAAAAATCTTTTGTCAAATACCACCAACATGGCGGCGATGACGTAACCGTGCGAACAGTAGGCTAATTATAAGTAGCGACCATGTTGAATAAGACTAAAGTGCTAGCCAGCCACTTTGGTTGCTTGCATATTCTTCATTGATTTTATTTATTCCAAGGTAAACTGTCTAAGTTAACATTTCCACCGCACAATATGACAGCTACCTTCTCCACGTTTTTGTTTTCACCACGAAATCTCTCACTCAATACCGCCGCAACTGCAACAGCAGCTGACGGCTCAATAACGAGTTTCATTCGTTCCCAGACTAGTCTCATTGTGGAAATAATCTCGGACTCTGTGACTGTGATGACGTCATCTATATTGTCGCGAATGATTGGCCAGGTTATGAACCCTAAGCTTGTCTTTAGTCCATCTGCAACTGTGGCTGGAGGGCCTGAAAGAGAATGAGAGGTTCTACATTACCGTTCACAGTTGACCACTGCTCCATACGGTGAGATCATGTGTCGTCTCTGGGCTCAAGGAAACTGAGTAAGTTATGAAATGTTTCTGCGAGGACTTGGGTAGTCACTTTGATCATCACGCTGGGAATATCATTAGGGGTCCCAGGGGCTAGGATTGCTGTGATCCCCCGTCCCAGCTTATTGGATATAAAGCACAAGTCTTGTATTTCCGCCAGAATTCAAGATTAAGTAAACATCTTTATTAGTGGCAAAAAATTGAGCCTTTTGTATCCGCTGAAGAATCGTAATGTCTGGTAGGTACATATCTATACCTGGTAGAGGGATTCTCTTGCCAGCAGCAAATGATTTGGCACAGTCATCTGCAAGTAACGGTTCTGCAGCAAATATCTTGATACTAGGTTTTATGCCCTTGGCTGCTACACAAATACCACTCAACATGCCACCACCCCCCACGGGAACAACAATAGCATCAAGATCTGGCACCTGGAAGGAAAGATAATAACAAAGTACGTTGCTATGGTTTGAATGATGCACTCTGCACCGGCTAAAAATTTACGACATCCTTCCAGCCAATTACAGGCCAGGAAACAACTCGTCATCCAATAAAAATGCTTAGGAATGGTAGCGTCACGGTCAAGGCACAGCACGGCACTGATACCGATAATTTTTCCTGCGTTAAACTAATCCACCTTATACTAGTGTAAGGTAGATAAAAATGGCTTCTAAAGTTCCTCAAAGTGTGGGTTCTCTAGCTAGACATTGTATAGACTGCGAGCCTCTATTTCCCTTGGTCACTTCCTCGATCAATCGACACGGACAGACAGACGGACAGTGACCAAGAGAAATAGAGGGACTTAGCTCGCAGTCTAGACATTGTAAATAAAGCAAGATACCTGTTCAAGAAGTTCCAACGCCATGGTTCCCTGTCCTGCTATTATGTGCTTGTTATCGTAGGGAGGGACTAGGTACGAGTTGGGACCCGTCTCTTTTAAAACACGAGCAGCCGCGGCTTCTCTGTCCTAAAAAAGCGATGAATAAAACATAAGGGAAAAGAACAAACAGTAAAAAAAAAGACAGGACTTCCTTGTGTTTTCCACTAATTTCTAATTTTCTCACATAGAAACACAAGCGATAAGCTTTATATATTTCGCCGGGCTACTTTCCGGGCATCAAATATTAACTGGTCGTTTGATTGTCACGTGACTAACCTGTTGTGAGATTTCACATTCTACGATATTTGCTCCATAATCCTTTACGGCAGCTTTCTTAATAGCAGGTGCATTATTGGGCATTACGATGTGAGCTTTAAGACCCTTGACCTTCGCAGCCAGCGCAAGTGCCTGGCCATGATTACCACTGCTATGGGTCACAACGACTGGTAGCTCGGCTTCGGAACAGTTTTCTGTTATGTTCAGCACTGCATTCATCGCTCCACGGAACTGAATTAAGACAACAGTGAGAGAAGCGTATTAGCACAAACTCCAGTCCTCCCTAAATGTTACTAGTATCGTCATTTTTTTTTTCAAGGGTCAGGTAAAAATTACCTTAAATGCACCCACTTTCTGGAAAATCTCACATTTGAAGTACAAAGATTTACCAGCCATCTTGTCCAGGGTCCCGCAAGTCATGACGGGAGTGCGGTTAATGAACGGAGCGATTCGTACAGATGCATCTTGAACATCCTTTAACGTTACTTCAGTGTTTCCTTCCATACTGCTTGCCATCCTTGATTAGAAAATATATGATGCCCAAGTGAGAAGATTTATCGAGAGAATTATTCTCTTTTCCATGGAAAGTTGGAGGCGGTGTGGGTCGGTGTGTGGTGGTGGTGGTCGAGGAGGACAAGGGGTAGACGATGTGTCGGGGGTTTATGATTTTTTCAAATAAATATCTCGAGTACAAACCAGGGACCGTGGAGAGGGCACTTTTTTCTTTTTTAGTCCCCAAATTTCAAACTTCTTCAAAGGGGGTGGGGGCGAGGGCATTCCTCCGTCCCCCAAGATTATCGACCCTCACTTGAAATTATGCTCCGCGTTGCCTGGTAACCCTTGGAGAATCAGAGCAAGGTATAAAACTAGTATACAATTTAATTTAATAATTACGAACAAAGTCAAGAATGAAAGCTGAGGTCTTAATAAAGACCATCTTTTTAAAAAAAAACTAACCTGATTGCTGTTTTCTTCAAATCAATAAGTCCCCATGAAAAAACAGCTTGTTTAATTTTCTTACTACCGCCGTAAATGCCTCGTCGTCGTAATATGAAGGACATTGATGACTAGTGTTTATACTCTACATTCTCACATTGACCGCCATTTTGGGGTAGGTACTTCATGTATAGGGACACGAAGTACCTACCCATTTTATCCGCTATCATCTGTGACTGCAGGCGCGTACTTTGGAACGAGGCTTTCAAAGCGGATTCCAAGATGGCGTCTTCCACAAGGGAATCAAAGTCAAAGCCAGAATTTCACTGATTTTTGCTAAATTTCTCTCAATAAAACTCTGAATACTAGGGAAAAAACGATAAGCTGCAACAATGAAGCGTTCTCAACCAGAGCCTTCAACTTCGGCGCCTCCAAAGAAGCAGGCGACGACGAGAATGCTTGAAAGTGTGAACGTTGGTCCGGTCTCTACAGAGGTATTAAAAATTTGAGTATTTTAAAATTATTATTTGGAAACTAAAAGCTTTTATCATTTTGGTATATCTAGGGTTAATTTATTGAGATTTCTTGTACTTAATTTGCTTTAAAGTTTATTTACATGAGTAAGGCCTTCGATAGCATTGATCATAAAATCCTTATGACAAAACTGCAGGACGTTGGACTGTCACCTCTAGCCATTCAGTGGTTTCGCAGCTATCTTACTTCACGCTATCAAGTCGTCAGAATCCAAACTGCAGTCTCAGACCGTTTGCCWATGACCTGTGGTGTACCACAGGGAAGTATCTTGGGTCCATTGCTTTTTAGCATATATATAAACGATCTCCCAAGCGTTCCTGAACATTGTACTACTCAATGTTACGTTGACGACACCAAATTGTTGCTTACTTTCAATCTCCAGGACCAACAATATATTGTTTCAAGACTTAATCAAGACCTTTTCAGAATAACTAATTGGACACTCGACAATTACCTACTTCTAAATCCCGACAAAACTAAACT